CATAACTTTTGCAGAGCTAATTGCACTGCAGTGAATACTCTAACTGGAAGAGCTTACGGTATGTGGTCGCAAATGGGTTTTAGATGTCAGTCAAGAACAAAGCCGTAAAAGCCCAAAACGGAGTTGAAGCAAAACGGTGCACACTCTCACGTAGTGCTGGGCACGCAGTATCCGGTGTTGATTACCCGGGCTTCTGCCAACACCCGAACCCTCGACTAGAGTGCCTAGGATCCCCACGCAAGTTCCGGGACAATAGCAATCCAAAGGCTAAGAGATATCATATTGATTTCGTAGTCAGCGGACGAATACAGTCAAGGGAAATCAGTGTATAGAACAGTTGGGCGTGGTCGAGCACGCACGAGCCTACGGACTGTCAACTTTATTTACTAATGAACCAGCGATGCGTTTCAGACCATTCCATAAAATAATTTCAACGAAATTTCGCCAAATTAAGAGCTCATTAACATTATGGCAAGGACTATTAAGAAGGAGCTTGGCTAAACGCATCATAAATCGAAACACGTCTTGGGCGAAACCGTGCATGGGAACACACTGCGATTGACATTTATTTGGTTTAATTTATTAATTCAGCTCTCTTTCCCACTTGGCCATGACCAGAACCAAAGCAAGCCTAATTTGTATGCGTCGGCAGCGCTGCTAATGTGCGGCCATCATTTAGATCAATAGCAAGACGACAAGGCTTATATAGATACAGTTACATTTACATTTACAGATAGACACACACACGTACATAAATATGTATACATATTTATATATATATATATATATATATACTTGAATACACATATTTTTCTTTTCTGCTGGGAGGGTTTCTTTTTGCTCAAAGCCAGCTGCACATCAATCTGTCCCAGCTTGGAATTTTTGTAATTTTATTTATGCTGATTCCAATGTGCGTTGTACGAATCTCAATTTGCTAGATGTTTAATTGAGATACTTTTTACACACAGCTGGACTCTAATCCCGTTGGCAGAGGAAAACCAAAAAAGCAGAAAAAGAGACTCATCGATTTAATGAAAGCTTTAATGCGCTTTCATCTGACTTTGACAGAGTTAAGCTTGTTAAAAATATAATAATAGTATTTATAAAAAACGTTCTCTATGATACGATATAATAATTCAAATAGATTTCACTTAGCACACAACACAGACTGAAGAGAGAAAAAGATTCAAGACACATAAATCAAGATTATACAATAAAATATGATCCTATTTATCCCAATTTTTATCTACGTCGAGTCAAAAATATTGTACGAAAAATAATACAACTCATAAGATACAATTAAAGCATATTTCAAAAGACATGCTTCAATTTTGAAACTTTAAGCTCGAATATCATTTAACTATATATTCTAAATGATATCAGACTTTGCCTATTCTATGAATTAATCCCAGTGTATAAGTTGTTCACTTGTATGCTGCTTGCAGAGTTGACTCGAAAGGATGTAATATATTCTGTTTATCAGTCTATTATGTGACTTTGTTCTCAATGTATAGCACACACTTTAAGATAGTAGCTTTTCACATGTCTGATTTAATTAATCTCTCCCTAACATATTATACAATCTATAAGTAATGCGTAAGACCCTTTATTAGTTCATAAGCAGGCAAATTTTCGCTGGGAAAAGCTTTCACATTAATTGCAATGTTATCTCTGGCAAATGCCGTAAACAGATTACAAAGCATGTGCAAGTTTATAAGTAAAAGCCGAGAGAAGCTAAAAAAAGTTTTGGTAAAAAGGCGGCCTTCGCCCCAAATGTGATTGACAGCGGTTGTGGCTTAGCCAACTGAGGCGTACAACATTTCCTTCTGTCGCTCCTGCCACTCTTCTCATTTGAACTCTCCCTCTCTCTCTCTTTCTTTCTTTCTCTGCCTGTATGTCTCTACCACTCGCTCCTTTGGTCGAGTCTAAAACAAACCAGCATCAATTTTAATAATGCTCTGGCAATGATTTTATTTATTTGTTTGAGCGCCAAGGCCAAACCAAAGGCCGTCGCGGCTAATCCGAAAGGCTGCCAAAATCTTTCACTTTCAAATATTAAAATCTACGCCGTAATTGAAACGTAAAAAAATGCTGAAGCTCTCTTAGGTATGAATGGGCCTTAGAAAGATGCAAGTATAATAAAGTTGAACTGAATTTTACTACCGATTTGTAACAAATTTATTGCTCGTTAGTTCTTTCCATTATTGCAATGAAGACAAGAAATTTCAAAACAAACCAAAACGCTTCATATAAAATAGACTTACATATTTTTACTAACAAATATACAAACTTTTAATACCAATTATCACGCGCGTATTTTCAATAAGCCAAAGGAATTAGTGTTAAATATAGTCTAACGTTTGATTATCCAAAGTCCGAAATCTACAAGCAATTTTTGTTTGCCAATTCCACTATTCTGCAAGACTTTTTATTTCAAATTAAAATTTTTCAAAAATTAATATATGTATATGAAATTTAAAATGTTGGCTGTAAGTGATTTCTGAATTTCATTTAATTAATAACTTTTTTTTTATACTTTTACCAATTTGGTAAATATAAACTAAAACGTCAATAAAAATATAATCAAAATAAATTCCACATTTTCTTGACATAGTTCATGATTAATTTCATTGATTATAAATTTCGAGGGAATTTGAAGTTTTGTGAAATTATATTTTTTTTAATTTTCAATGCAATTTTCATAAGATTCGCAAATTGACTCCAGACATTACCTCTAGATTCTGTGTCCCCTTCATTTAGAAAAATAGAATAACATTTTTTTATTTATAAATATATAAAACAGCTTCAATAATGTAATCAAAGCAAAAGATCTGCCAAGACCGCATATCTCCACAGCGTTATCTGAAGCTTAAGCTATTCCTTGGCTCTCAAATTTACTAATGACTACGATTAAATTTGTTATATTTTTTGCAATATGGGACATATATGAAATATTCCACAGGCAATAAGGCTAGGCATTGAGTTCAAATACTCTGAAAGATCATTGTCTTCATTTTCCTTTGGCATATCTATGAGCATTGAATGACTTTTCAGTACAGCAGTTAACCATTTGGTGTCTGCCACAATTGTTGATACTCCAATTAGTCAAATTACTGTTACCTGTTAGCTGTTGTTGCTGTAGGTATTGGTTTATTCGCACGCAAGCCAGGCGCGTCGGCCACAATCTCTCAAGCCTGGCTGCGCAGCGGCAGCTGCTAAATGCGGCAATGTATGTGTGCCTTGGCCATGCTTACAGCTGCCGCTAATCGAGGCACAAATTCCATTTAAATGCCATAACAATAGCATGTAAGCCTTTAGCTGGCTTGCCTCCAAATGACTCCCCAACATCGTGCGCACAGGTGCTGGGTCGCTTGCTGTGCGTTGCCAATTAAATGCACACTTTAACCGCAAAATTGCAATCCAGCCATGAATTAAGGTGTGTGCTGGTGTAATGGGAGGTCTCTTACTTCCTAACCCTCCCTATCTCCACACTCACACATAGCCATGCACATGCAGAAGCTGCGTACAACTCACGTTGACCGTAAAAAGTACGCAAAATGACAGCAAACAGCTCGTAACTCAAAATATCTATGCAAATTGCGTACAAAATGTTTGCGCAACAGTTTTCCCCCTTTTGGAAGTCCGCCCGTCTACCAGAAAATAAAAGTAATTGCATTTTATTGCAATGCAAGAAATGAAAATTCTCATATATCTAGTCCATGTATATACAGAATATATACAATATTATTCGGTTGTAGGCCACTTGTGACTGGCTTTGACTACTCTACACACACACACACATACACATAAAACACACACACACAGATGGTAGTATTTTTGTGTGATTTGCATATGGTTCATATATAGCTAGATACTGTTATTGTATCTAACAGATTTCGTTTGCTCAGCCAAAATGTGCTGACAATGCAAATGCCATTTGGAGCACAATCTAAATGGAAAATATGAACAGCAAACTCGTATATAGGTATAGATAAGTGATAGTTAATATTATCCGATTTTGCACGGCATAAACTACTTTTCATTCATTTTCAATTTAATTTGCATAGAAATTTGAATAAATGCAATTATTTTGTAAGTTGAGATTTATAGCTTGCAAGCAGAAGCCACAAGAATTCCAGCTAAACAGAAATTCAGAGAATTTCGAATATTTGCTTAGCAGAGATATAAAACAAACAAATTTCTTTTGCTCAAAAAGAATTTCTAGTATTTTTAGTTTTCGCACTTGGATTTTTCGCATTTAGCTACCTAAGCATAAGCCAATAGCTAATTACTATAAGCATTTGAAGCTTTATAGCCTCAATCAGTCTATTAGCAACTTCAACTCTTTACATATATTCGTGTCATATATGGACGCAAACATGTTTTAAAATAAAAAAGAAACAAAAGCTAATAATTATTTGAATATCATGCAAGTTATATATTAAAGTATAAAATATTTATAATGAAATAAATTTATAACTATTACGAATTCAATAAGCACATATTATTAATGTTAAGTTCCATATATCCCATATATATATATATAATTTAAAACGACTTAAAGTAGTTCTATAAACCCTATATGTGTATATTAAATACAATTCGAAACTAATTTAAGTATCATATAACTAATATTTAGTTGAGGACCGAACACAACATCCACTTTAAACTTGAACCTAGTATAGAAATTCCCAAATTTTGTTGTCCAAGCTACACGAACAAAACACAACTCCTCGTTCCCAAAGCTCTTTTGGAGCACATATCCCAATAACTTTTCTTTATATAAATTAGCTGAAAAAAAAAACAACAAAAAAATGCGCATATGATATGAAACAAAAGAATATACGAATAAATACTAAAAGAAAAATATAACAAACTACACAAATAATAGTAAATAAAATAAATATAAATACAACAAAAACAAGATCAATCAAAACAACAAAAACCAAAAAAAGGAAAAAAGTCGAATAATACATAAACAATATTGTACAATAATTTAGCGCGGATGAGGGATTCGATGGCACGTATCACACCAACATTGTGGTCAAACATAACGGCAGTTGTCTGTACGTGCCCCCTGGTATCTTCAAGAGCACATGCAAGATAGACATCACGTGGTTCCCATTTGATGACCAACATTGCGAAATGAAATTCGGTAGTTGGACTTACGATGGAAATCAGGTAAAGTGTTTAGTACACAGTTACAGTACAGCTACAGTACACACTCAAAGAGCTAAACAGTACCTGGTGCAGTCAACTCTGGCTGTAGTAGAGCTTAAAAGCAAAAACATCACAACACTTCACAATCACGCTTTTTGCTAACACACACTCACACACACACACTAATACACGCACAAGTTAACACGAACACGTGCACGTGCACAGCAAGAAAGTCGGTTAGATACAATGCATAGGCATATACACGCAGGCAGCGGGAGTTATTGACTATTTAGACTATTTAGTTCAGGTTCGACGTTGCTATAGAAAAAACCGTAAGAGTCCTTTGGCACGCGCTGCTTTTGTTTTTGCTTTTCCAAAAATCTATCTCTCGCTCTCTCTCTCTCTCTTTCTCTATAAAAAAATATATTCCCATTTATTTTATAAATCAGTACCTTTCTCTCTTTCCTCCTCACGTCGAACAATTCTTTGCGTTTTTGCGAATTACAAAACCAAAAAGTCAAATGTGCTTAGGCACCCGCAAACAAAAAAGTTTCATCGTGTTGGCTAAAATGTTCAATAAAAGATTGAAAATTTTATCCAAACACTTCAAAAATATACCAACAAAAAACGGATAGCATCAGTAGGACAGTGTTTTGGCAGAGAAGTTAACTGTCAGCAATTATCAGCACAACAGAAATGGAATCATGTGTGAGACCCTCGAAATTTTTCGCCCCTGTTATAAGAACACTGAAAAATTTCAGTTTCAACTATTTTGCATGTTAGCAGATCAAAAACCACGCCCAAAATTTAAATAAAACGAACAATTTTGGACGTACGTAAAGATTCTTAATGGAAGTCAAACAATTGTAAGGTTTTCAGTACAATTTAATTTTATTTCCACGTTTTTTTGCACTAAAAACGCAATAGCAAACTAAAGAAAATAAAAATTAAAATAACAATGTATGTAAAAAAAGTAAAGCTCTCTATTTTTTGCTCGCTGTATCTCTCTCTCGCTCGAACACCTTGAACACATGCTCTCTCTGTACATAAATGTTGTTTCAACGTGGCTTTAAGCAAAATCTCAAACATTATTACTAAAACAAACTAAAAAATGTTACATTTCTTTTTCTCCAAACAATTGATAAAATAAACGAAAAAAACTCAAAACAATACCCAACAAAAAACTCTTAAAAAAAATGAAAAAAAAAATTCGTTTGTCTAAAAAATCAAAAAAAAATGTCAAACAAATTTTTTGAAAAAATCGTTGATAAACAGTTGGATTTGGTTTTGAATTCCGAAGATGGAGGGGATCTTTCCGATTTCATAACAAATGGCGAGTGGTACTTGCTTGGTTAGTAAAAATCATCATAAAACCTAATGCTTATTTCACTAACTGTTTTCTTAACGTTGTTATGTGTAAATGTCTAAAAAAATACAATCATTAACCCAAAACCTAATCACGTATTTTTTTATAATTTACGATATAATTTTTGTACATAAATAAATATATATAATACTAAGTAGAAACTTTTGGACTGGTGCTTTATCAAAATTGCTTACTAGAAATTTTTTCAGTTGCTGCTACTTAAATTGCAAAAAAACCTCTTTTTCGTTTGTAAATAGTATACATATTGATATAGATTAAGAAAATATGAAAATATCTGTGTACATATGTGTATTTGTGTCTCAGTGTCTCATTCAACTTTACTTTCGCTAAATACTAATCGTGAATTTTATTGTTCAGCCATGCCCGGAAAGAAGAATACGATAGTCTACCAGTGCTGCCCAGAACCCTATGTCGATATCACCTTTACTATACAAATACGCCGACGTACATTATATTATTTTTTTAATTTAATTGTACCATGCGTGCTAATATCATCGATGGCTCTGCTTGGCTTCACATTGCCCCCGGATTCGGGCGAGAAATTAACGCTGGGTAAGTATATCTGAAGCCGAATAAGAAAGTTAAAATCCAGAAAAGAACGAAACATCACAACACTATTTGCCCCCACTTGAGCCCAATAATGAGATATTACTACGATAATACATATATATATATATATATAAAACCATTTTGAAAGTTCTTTCAGCGTGTGACTTTTTTAAAAATGCTACAAATCAATTTTTTCAACGTACATATAGTTAGGGCCTATCCAATATATATAAAACACATATATATAAAAGAAATATAATTTTTGGCCAGGTAAAGCAGCGGTAGCGAAATGAGGATTAGCTGGATTTTAATATTGTGCATATATAATAATAACCCATAAAAAGCTCGTAAAACCCAACCAAAATATATTTTGAACGCTGCTTTTAAAGCTAGTCTTAACTAAAAATGCATGTTTTACTTTTCCAGTATTTCTAAAGTGAAGTATACTAAAAACCAAAATAATAAACCAAATAGGTGTGTTGCTCTTTAATCCACAAAAGGCAATGCTCTCTACATGCTAAACCAAATAATTGTAGATCTACAACAGAAATGTTGTGAAACTCCCTTAAAACAAAGACCTCTATAAAACCAAAAACCAAAAAAAATATATTAAAATTTTTCTACTAATATATTAAATATATAAATAACAATTCTTACTTTTTGTCTTTACAATTTTTTCCGTCATTTAGTTTTTAATTTAAAATTGTTTTTTTGATAAACGGTATTTATTGTATTTCTTGTTCCAGGCGTAACTATTCTACTATCATTAACAGTATTTCTAAACCTTGTTGCCGAGTCAATGCCGACAACGTCGGATGCTGTTCCTCTTATAGGTACACACACACGCTATTAATTTAACAATTACTTTAAAAAATGATCAAAAACGAAGTTACCATATCCGGCCCAAATGCTGTTTTTAGTTGTCATTAGTTTAACTACAGTAGTGCAATGAAAAAAATGCGACAAAACAAGAACAAAAACAAAACAACTAAAAACAAATCAGAAATAAGCAAGAAAATACCAATTATTTAGATCACATACACCCACACACACACACACTGGCGAATGATAACTGCTCTATATATATATATATACATATATATATAAATATATTTATATATATATATACATCTCTTAATTCTGTACGTTTGTGTTTGCTAATAGATGAAATTTTCCACTTCCGGACTTTTAACTCAGTTTCAGCCAGCTAAAACTTCTCTTTCTACTGGAACTTTTGGATAGACCTTTACAATAGCATCCAAAAGAAAACAAACCACAAGCAGCACACCTACCAAAAATATCAAAATATAATACACCTCCAACAAACAAAACCCCGTCTGTTTCTCTAACTGTCTATAACTTTGAAGTAAATAAGAATTAATTCAGCTGCAGCAAGTTTTCTTCTATTACTCTCTAGATCTCTCTCTCTCTCACTCTTTCTCTCTCTAAATTGAATCTTTGGCTGAGAAGTGCTACATATCATTATTTTTACTTATCTTAACTGTAAACTTTAAACCTAATCTTAACTCTACTTAATTACATTACAAACTATTGCTCAGCTGATCTAAATAGTAGTCTAGAACATATATTGCTCGTCAACAGCTCTGACATAATTGGTATTTCACAACACTGAAACACGACCCGAACACTACTCACGAATCACGCAACACAAACCACATTTATTTCATATTCGATTACACAATGAAAAGTTTTTACGTTTTTCCATTTCCATTTTGCTGTTTAAACAAAAACAAAAGAAAATGCGTATGTTGAACCCGAGTTCCACTTAGTTTTTCTTCGTTTTGTGTTTCTGTCGGTTTGTTTGTTTTTCTCTACGTGTTTGCCGCTAGCTGAATATAACTCCTTGTTTTTCATATATGCTATATCATTTCGTATAACTCTTTAGTTTATTTATCTGTTATGTTAGCCTGTTAAAGATTGTTAAAAAAGAAAAGCTAACGCAACAAAAATATAAATTAGAACAAAGCTAATACGTTCGTTATGTATATAAGCTTCTCTAAACGAGTAGTATATCATATTTTAAAATATCATATGGGGCAGATCCTGTTTTGTTGCCTGATCAAATCAAGTCATCTAAATAATTAGCAGCAGTAGACGCAATATACTCGTTAAATGTATACTAAATATAGTGCTAAATTGTATATAAAAAAACCTAGACAAATTATGAACAAATCCAACGAACAACCTTTTTTCGCTACCAAAAATATATATATTGAACAATACCAGCCTACAACAAAGCCAAACAAAACAGTCAGAAAAAACATGAATAAACAATACTAAGAATATAAAAAGAATGCGTAGATCTCAACTTGATTTCTTATCGACAGTGAAGGTCATTAAAAAAGAACTGACAACACGAAACTTAAAAGTTATCTTTAAGCATGTATTATACAATACAAATCAAATTTTCTTTATTTTTATTTCCAAGACACTAAAATATAACAAAACAAAAATGTAACTTTTGGGTCTCGCTGTTAATTGAGTTTCTATTTTACTGGCCTGAACTGTACAAGTTCATCAAAAAAGAATTGAAATCTAGAACAAACAAAAGCAAAAAAAGTAGTAAAACGCTGCCCAGTTAGTCATTTGTCCTGACAATATGTAAAAATAAAGATTCTGATGATAATATATGTGTATGTTCATACATATATTTTTGATTTTGTATGCATTGAACAATAACAAAAACAACAACCACAAATCATATCAATTATTAAAACAAAACAAAAAAACAAGAACACGCTATATAAATATTTATATATTGATCAAGGTTTGTATTGGAAGAGACATCAAATGTCAATTTGATACTTGGTAAAGTCGAGAGGAACACATTTAGGCAAGCAATATAGGAAAATCTATAAATATATATGATAAAACATGCATTATGTGTATATATATCAATTAGGTTAAGCGAAAAACGAACACTTACAATTTGTATGCTTTGTAGTTATATTTTGGTAGGTATACGATATACGAGTATTATTTTCAAAGTACTTTTAAGCCGGGCGATAGACCAATTGCCTAACAAATAAATACAACTGTAAATAATACAGACGCACAGACACATACACAGCTATATACACACACAAACACACCTGAACCGACGTAAGTACAAATACAACAATAACAACAACAGCTGAACTCTAAGCGACTATCAATTACTGGCATGCATACCAGGCTAAGAAAAAATAAAAGTGTATCTCTACCAGCTCCTAGTCAACAACAATCAAAAGAAACACCAATTCATTCAAAACTCTCACTTTTGGTCTTTCTCTCCCTCACGCCTTCTCTCTCCTTCATGCCCTCTCGCTCTTCATACCCTTTGTCTCCTCTGTCTTCTTCTCCCTCTTTCTCTCTCACCGTCTCTCTCTCTCTCTCTCTCAGACTCTCTCACTCTCTCCCTCTCTCTCACTGTCTCTATCTGAGTCTCAGTCACACAGTCACACTCTACATCTCTCATTCACTTTCTCTCTCTCTTTCTCTCTCTCTGTCTATCAATGACACAGTCACACTCTATCTTCCACGCTCTCTCCCCGAACTATTTCGTTTCGGCAAGAACTCTTTGTACTTGCACAATAAGCAAATTAAAAAACTACACACTAAATACTTGCCCAACAACAAGTATAACTATTTGCAATCTAATCAACAAAAAATATATATATAACTTATATATATAAACTAAAAAATGTCCTGACTTACGCACCTGTAAATTCCCGACAGTAAAACCCCCGCCCACCCTAAAGGCTAAACAACTCCACTTAAACTGAAAAACTATAAAAAATTTCCAAAGCGCAGATCCATTTGACCAGATGGTAGACTTGCAACTCCACATAATATCGTATCGCTCATCAGGCGCGTTCCATATTATGTCATATATATTTAACAAATATATATATCTATATATATTGCATATACATATATATATATATATATATATTTAACCCTTCCAACGACAAGCCCCGCGTTGAACCACCATAATTTGCATGCAATGCGCAAATTTCTTCTTCCTCTTAATTTTTTGTTTGCAACCAAGTGTCGCGCAGTGTTCAGACGTTTGGCCGGTGCTGCACGTACCAAATTAAATGAGCCGCACGCTGCGTGCTGGTGTGTGGGCGTGGCAAATTGGCGACACGTACCGCTAAGCTCGTTGCCAAAGACAAGGCATAGTTCGAGCGACAAGCTTCAGTTCAATTTATAAATTTTACTCATTTAAGTAACGGCAAAAACTTAACACTAACTTTTGAACCACCCCTCGAACGCCCCACTTGACGCCAAGTAGTGGGCAAATGTTGGAAGGATGTGCACCTTATACCACCATTAAGCTTTCGAAAAGTTGAGCAAACTACAAAAAAAGTGCAAAATAAAAAAAACATTCATTTACGCTGCGTGTTGTGAAAATTTGTGTCAAAATCTGTAGTCCTTGTGTCAGTGTGCTGCCAAAGTTTTCTGTGGTAATAGGGGCAAAAAGTTAAGAAGTTCAAATCTCTTAGTTGATATAGTATTGAAGATCTGAAATGCTTTAGCGGAAAGCAAAACTAATTTTTAATTAAATACATAAAAATTACAGTAGGGAAATTATATTTCAGAAAATGAAAGCAAAATATGGTTTAGTTCGCGTGGATCCCAATCAAAATCGATCGAAAAAGATTATATTGAGTGTAAGTTGTATATAAAAGGCAGGAAATAAGATGATGATGATATAAAAATATAATGAAAAAAATAATATACAAGTTTTATTTAAAGAAAAAGAAAGAAATTTAAAGAAGAAAGAAGAAATTATTTAAATTATGACAGAAATTTATTTTAAAATTAAGTTAAATTGAAATGGTATCCAAATGATATTTATAGAAAAGTATAAATGATAAATATAAAGAAAATTATGTTAAACAGAAAAATATGACCTGAATGAAAATTTTTAAATTGAATTAGGATATTTTCGAAATATGACTTTTTCGAGTGTTAGAAAAAGAAGTTTGAGTAACCAATAGAATATAAGATAAGTCTATCCAAGTTTTTAGCATAGAATTTTGCACAAAAAATTAACTATATGCACATCAAAAGGAGTTTTAGAGCAAATATGGAATCACACACATATTATGGCATATGATTTTTTTAAATGTCTCTTTGCAATCTTTGGCAGATTTTCGCTCAACTTTAATAAAGCTTAATCCTACTGTTTGACTTTATTTATGAATTGTATGTATAACTCCCAGACAAATATATACTCCCACTTTACGAACGTTTCAGTTGTCAGCTAGCCCTCTAGAACCCGCCTACCTACGATCTCTATCCGCAACACCCGAAACTTTGAGTTTGTGCAGCATATACAACTCATATACTCATCTACATAAAAGTCACACTTCATTGAGAAATTGATAAGTTAAATTGATATCAAATCAAACAAACTAAAACGAACATACTAAAAAGCATTAGTCAGCCACAATAAAGATTATACCAGAACAAAAAATACTAAAAACAAAATGCAGCGGCTCAGAGGAAAATCAACGAACATCTCGATAAATCGCTCAAGCTCTCTCTTTCTCCCTGCGAACAACTTAAACACAACCTTTAACAACTAGTACAATAACAACAACAGCTACATCAACAACAACGACAACAGCAACAAGAACAACAACAACTACAACAAAATCAAACTTGTGAATATGCCCTTGGAATAAGTCTGATTATATTGTTTTCTTTTTCGGTCGAGTTTTTAGTTTCATATACACATACTTTATCTATATATTTTATGATTTCGTGCCTCATGATTTTAATTGTATTTTATATCAAACGAAATTCTTTTGTTTCAGGAGTTACAATTCTTCTATCGCTCACAGTGTTTCTCAACCTTGTAGCTGAGACATTGCCCCAAGTATCTGATGCAATCCCCTTGTTAGGTAGCGATTGCATTTAAAACAAAAATCATAAAAAATGCAAATATATATTCAAATTTGTCAAAAACAAAAACAAAACATTAATTAACAAGTTACTTAATATATGATTTATATATACGTACATATAATATATATATATCTATATATATTCATAAATATTATTGTTATCGTTGTTATATATATATATCTATTATGATTACTCACACACATTGCTAAATTGTTCGCATATATATAATCCTTAATTAAAACCAAAAAAAACCAAATCTTAACTTAAATAAAGTATTAGTCTAACAAAAAAACCAAAGTCAACAAAAGTGTCAAAAGTTGTTAAATGTTATTTGTGTACTTCGTACTATGTTTACTAATTACAACAAGTTTTAAATTATTAATTAAACTAAACCAACTCAGATAACTAACTAATTATCTCTCTCTCTCTCTCTCTCTCTGTCTCTATCTTGTTCCAAAAATTGAACTTTAAATGACGTCGTTTCTTATTTAATCATAATATTATGTTGCTATCTCTCTTTTACAAAAAAAAAAACACTCCGTCTCTCTCTCTCGCTCTTCAATATTTTTCGTTCGCTTTTTTAATCCAACTTAAAAAAGTAAAAATAAATTTTTTTTCGGTATACATACCAAAGCCAAGTGCTACGGCACTGTATTCCCCGAAAATATACGTTTAAGATATATTAAAAAAAAAAAACAAAAAAACATCCAGAAAATCCTTACGTCAAAACGAACAAGAAATCTTTTAAATGCTATCGTTATCTACTTACTAAAACACTTCTAATCTATGATTTCCCAACTGAACTTTCTCTTTAAAATGTTCTTAACTTTGCCATTGATATGTGGCCTTTATACTATATTATGCAAAAAATATATATTCTTTTATATAGTGGCTATGATCCAGTACATATGAAGAATCGACAAAGCTGCGTCTAGACTTACAACTCACTTCAATATAATAATATATATACCCAATTTTATTCTGAATCAAAATTCGTGCTGTTTACACTTTTTGATCAAGCAATAGAACATGAAAATACTACTCAAGTATTTTAGCAGATGTATTATATTAAAAATAAAAACAGATTCTAACTTTTTCAACCTGAATTTCAATTAATATTTTGTCATTCCTTTTTTCGAACCACATATATTTAATTCACAAGAACTTCAAAATATTCCAATCTTAGTATTTATTTTATAAAAACGAACTATTTGAAAGTTAACAAAAAATAATATTTAAAAGATAATAAATGAACGTTTGAATTATATTAAAATTTCCTCTTAAGAAAACAAAAGAAGTCCATATTCTTCTCTCACATCTCCAAAACTATTTGCAAACATAGATATATCCTTCAGTTCTATATAAAACCCCTTTAACAAAGTTCTATTGCATTCAAAAAAGAAGCACACCCCGAAAATTCAAAAACTTCCTTTTGCAATTATTCAGAAAAACAATATAGTTATTCCAACTTCTACTAATATAATTCTAAACCAATTATTCCGATATATTTTGTAGAGTACACACTTTCATGTACTTCTTATTTCCACTTCGCAATAAAGTAAACTCCAATCGAATGTAATTACAAAAGATACTTATGAGACAGATTTCAATACAAGTGCGTTTGGGAAAATACTTGTGAAAATGTTAAAAAATTTTGAAAATAAATGCCGATAATTTTTTAATGCATATTATCGTCACCATATATATATTAAAGAAAAAATACGTCACCGATCGATGAAGATGAAAGAAAGAAAGATGTTTTATACTTTATGGTATTATTTTACTATTTTTGCAAATGGCTTTGATTTGTTTTTAATTCATATTAATTTCTCTCGCTCTTACTTGTCGCTCTCACATACTCACTGCCAGTCACGTTTGTTTGTTTGTGTTTTCTTTTTGTAAATCATCACCATATGATATATATATATATATTGAAATATAAATATATATACATATATTATATACTTTATATGTACACCCCCACTGTTCCGAACATTCACCATTTCAAAACGAAAACTGTTCTCAATCAGAAACTGTTCTCGATTATCACAAATTTCGTAAGACCACTGCATAGCTTAATAAATACATCTGAAATACCACTCCAAAACACCAAAACTAAAAAAAAATCCAAATAGTTAGCTTCCATACCCAACTTAATTTTCCTTTTATGCTATATACGCTTTTTTCGTACCATTTGAGCTTCTCTAACTTTCACCTTTTTGACCCATTTCTCGGAATGATATTTTTTGCTCGAGAACCTTTTTGACCATTTCGAAATATATACATAGCATACGAAATATATAATTACTGTTAAATACAAAAGCCAAAAAAAATATCATTTCGTTCGAACAACAAAATATGTAATGAGAGTTCAGTTTGGTTTGTGCAAATGGGTCAAAAATTTATATCTTGCATTCGATAGCTGTTCCTTTTCATTAATTTACCCAATAATTGCACTGCCATAACAAAACGTAATCATAAAGAAAGCAAACCAGAAATTTAATAAACGAAACCAATAAAACGTAACTAAAATAAACACTTCCGTAAATATATAGTATATACTACTATATATTATATTATAACAATCAAGCCTAACAAATGCACTCACAGGCTTTATTTTATTTCTTGCGGAAAAAATATTTGCAGTCTTCCTTTTCACAACGAAAAAATAAAAAAAAAGGTTCAGCCAAAAAATATCATCTAGTTATTTTCCAAAATAGAATTTTTCTTGATTTACAGGGTCTGTGAATAGATCTAAAATAAACTGGAATTATTAAAAAAAGGAACATAGTACTTTCTAAGCACCATCCATAAATAAACTTGTAATATTATTAATAAAAATATTTTAATTTCAATTAATTGAAGTAAATTAAGCTATTTTCAATTTTGGAATAAACTGGAAACCCCAAAAACAGTTTTATCGGCATATGTCTTTAATTCAATAATAGTTTTGTTTACAGAAATTAGCCAAAATTGCAGTCAGTTTTTTAATCTACTTAAAATATTGTTAAATATAACTTCTTTTCAGAAGAGCTAATTGCGCAAATAAAAAATAAAATTCCAGTTTGATTAAAATAATGTAAACTGATCTATTGACAGACTCCATGCCTTTCATCTCTTTACCTACCTTCTTAACTCTCTATAATATCTTTTTAAAAGTTTCGCCAAGTATACAACTTCATTACCTATTGGCAGGTAGCCCCTAACTACCGACTGTTTAGAATGAACTTCAATCTCTCAATTTGTAGCTTTTATCTGATATACAACATTTAAAAAGTTTGCAGTCGGGCATAACCGACTGCATAATACTCGTTCATGGTACAAACAGTACAATGCTAAAATCAAATATTTTTGGATTTCCCGCTACAGCATTTAAAACCGAAATTTATTTTAGTCGATAATACACATATTATATTCCGAGCTTCAAACTTCTATAAAAAAGCAGATGCGACGCGAAACCAATATACTCTATTTTCACTTCGTGAACGGGTATAAAAACAAACAAAAATATTTGCAGGTGTTACCATTCTACTGTCGCAAACAGTTTTCTCTTTATTGGTCGGCAATGTCATAACAAAGACGAGCGAGGCCGTACCACTACTAGGTACTAGTACAACACACATTCTCAATTAATTGTTAATGTTATGCTTTATTTTAAGAAATTAAAAAAAAAAAAAAAGCAAATTAAAAATAATTTACAACTCCAGACAAATTCTTAGCGCTCTATATTACATATATTAAAAAAAACTCTTTTCTCTTTTAGCTTAAAACGAATGTAGCAAATGAAAAACAGTTTTCAAATCTAAAAAATCAGCTGACTAAAATCTAAAAAAAATATTTATCAAAATATATATCTTGTACAAAATTTAAAAGTTAATGCCACTGCGCATTTAAAGTAGGTAAACCAAAAAAAACAAATTGAAAAAAAAAAACTGAATTTAATGAGAGCATGAAGTACAACTCGAAAGGATGAGCAATATATTTCCTATAGCTGCCGTAGTTTAACCCAATTGAATTTCCCATCCCCTTACAGCTAACAAACCATATCGAATGCTTCTCTAGACTTTGGCTGAATCTATTTTTTTACACTTTATATTCTCTTGTTAAATGGAAAACAGAGCGCAAAATTAAAAATTAATGAAAGTAAATGAAAACGTTCACAAGGAAAGCAATATGTTAAACAACGAAGAAAAGCTTCGGCTTGCCGAAACTGATATACCCTTGCTTTTTGTAACTGACACAATGAAAAATATTTGTTCAATTATAATCAAGTAAAGTATTTCTACCACAGTCTAACTTTTCTCTGAATAAGGCTCATTTCAAGTAAATAATCGCTTTACTATTTTTTTATTTAATTATATATATACATATTTACATATACATTTGACATTTAACTCTAATCCATAATAATGGGACTTTATACATAGATCTTATAAATTTTATATAACTTATTTTACATATCGGATATTTAGACCCTGCGACTCGAGAGATATACTAACTCTGGTCACCACATATCATGCTTATAGCAAGGGTATTCAAAAATCATGGAAAATAAAAAATAAAACGAGCAAATTAAAACCTCCATAAAAGTCGGTGCTGTGGGTGCTTTGCTTTAATTGCTTGTCACTGCCATCTCCCCTCAATACCCTTTGATTAAGAATCTAACATAAAGCAGTACACGTATGCAAGCTATGCTTTTAGTAATAATCTAAATAAACTATGTATATATACAAAAATATATTTGTATTGAAACATTTTTAAAAAATTCCTCATTTCCAAGTATCAAAAGCTGACAAAATAGATTGAGAAATTGTTGTTAACCGTAAGACGTCAACCGTCTTGAATCAATTATTGCAATTTTTATTCTAAACCTTATATTAAATATATAAAACAGAAAGCATACCATAAACAAATCCAATGATAAACTAATGAAAACATTTAATTAAAAGATAAACAATTTTGTTTGTGCCAGAGCAATCGAACCCTCACAAAACTCACATTTTACGTGTTTGGCTTCTCTTTTACTAATGCATGACGCTTTCTTTTAAACTAAATTAATAATTTGAATATCAAAAAATGTAAAATAAATAAAAATAAAGTCAAGTAGTCAAAATCATATAGTCGACCAAAAAACTTATATTTTAAATGCTCTAAATTTGTTATTTTTTTATTTAAGGTAACAATTTTATAATTAATCTGCACTCAATTAATCGAATATTATATTATATACAAAGTATATATATAACTTCAATTTAAATATTATAATATTTCTTAACTTATATTAATCACGCGTAAAATTAATTATTCACGCGCATGTTACGTGAATAAGAACTCTTATACTCTTAGCTATACGCCCCATGAACAACTAAAAGTTACGCTGGCTGCAGCTGCAGCGCTCTAATTGTATATAAAAATCATAATATTTATTAATATAGAATTTCAAAGAAATCAACGCCAATTAATATTCAAAAATTGGGGATTCAAACATAGATAATAAATGATAATTTTTGTATTTCGAATATATAATTAACAAGTTCAATACAATTTTTTTAACTAAAAGTAAAGAATTCTAAATTATATTTTTGACCAATTTGGAAAAGTAAATAATATTTAAAAAACAAAGCACTATATTTTGACTACTTTGCTGATTTTTTAAACCAAAACATGCATGTTATGCATGTTGTAAAATTTAAAAAATTAAACGTATGCATGCGCGATACCCTGTAAACTAGTTGTGTGCTCGTAAAGTCGTAGCATCGATCGCATGCTCAGAAAAAAAACACAGCATTTGTTTGACACACTCTAAACTTGTGAAAATTCTTGTATTATTTATATTGGTATATATCGAAACTAAGTAACGTAATGTAAATGCTGTTTTTTTGTAAATTATTATTTCTCAAGCTTCTGTTCTTAGTGTTGCGCAATATTTTTTATAGACCCATGGTTCAAATAATACTAATATTGTATATACAATTTGTTTCTTTTTTTGTTTTATTTTTTGATATTGATGTAAATGATATTCAGGTACATATTTCAACTGCATCATGTTCATGGTTGCATCGTCTGTGGTGTTAACGGTTGTGGTGCTCAACTACCATCATCGTACAGCGGATATACACGAGATGCCACCGTGGGTAAGTCAAATCTAAACAGAATATTAACAAAATATTGAACGAGCATATTTTCTATTAGATAAAGTCCGTTTTCCTACAATGGCTGCCCTGGATATTGCGCATGGGACGGCCTGGCCGCAAGATCACGCGCAAATCAATATTATTAAGCAATCGCATGAAAGAACTGGAATTGAAGGAACGTTCTTCCAAATCGTTACTAGCCAATGTCCTTGACATCGATGACGATTTTCGTCATACAATATCGGGTTCACAAACCGCTATCGGTTCATCGGCGTAAGTATCATTAGTCAATGAATACACCTACCGCATACTTATCGTTTGTTTGCCATCGCTAATGCAGTAGCTTTGGCCGACCCACAACGGTGGAGGAGCATCACACTGCAATAGGCTGCAATCACAAAGATTTACACTTGATTCTTAAAGAATTGCAATTTATAACCGCGCGCATGCGTAAAGCTGACGACGAAGCGGAATTGATAAGCGATTGGAAGTTCGCTGCAATGGTTGTGGATAGGTAAGCTATCGAAAACGTATCAATAATCTACAATGATTACATTACTCGGAGCTTATAGTACACGTACATAAATATAATCTTCAAATTGTTATTAGGGCGAAATTATACATTTCTATTGAAACAGGTGAAGGGAAACATGTCCTCTCAATAGACGGAGGTTATGTCTTCTTTATATTAGATCTAAGTGACCATATTCCTTTATTATTTCCAGATAAAGCAAATAGTGATTCGAATGACTGAGAAAATTGCGGTTGTTTAGCTAATATAAGGGCTAATCAATATCAATAAACTTGAATTCTAAGACGAATCATTGTCAGAATCTTGTTACATTTGTCGAAAGTGTAACTGGGTACTGTATAATTCATTTACATTGAAATATAATAAGAAGCCAGTGAAAATGTGTGATTAAGAATGTACGAAACAACCTCACTGACCAGTTGAATATATAGACAGGCTAAAATCTGGTGAATAACTAACGCAGTGACTGCAAACAGTGCGGTTACTAAGAACTCCCAGGCGTTCTACTAAATCAAACAATTAAGGCAGCAGCCACATGCCCACACAACTTCCGGTTATTTGCTGTAGCATACACGAACCATATATGTATGTAGCATACACACATACACACCCACACACACTTAGCACTCACCTACACAACACGTGGCTTTAATATAAAAGCGCGACTGTTGCTGCCACTTTGTTGATGGTGAAAATTACATGTGGATATGCCTGCGCTCTAGTATATATTATAGATATATGTATTTAATGCTATGAATGCTAGGTATTCTTTACATATTCTATATATTATGTATGCCATTTGTGTAATCTTCTTCCTTTCTTCTACTTCACAGATTTTGTTTAATTGTTTTTACGCTCTTTACGATTATTGCAACGGTAACCGTGTTGCTCTCAGCTCCGCATATAATCGTGCAATAAGGCCGCTCAATTTAGACACGCTAAGTTACATACACACACACTGATACACTCTACTGTATATGAGTAGATACCTAGTTAAGTTAATTTTCAAAAACAAAAACTAGAGAAGCTGCTTCGCAAAAAAGCAAAAAAAATTGTTAATTACATTTTTAAGTCAAAATATAAAAAAGATAAAAGAGGAAAAATGCAAGAGAAAGGGAAAGCGAACACACGTACACAAACATCCACAACAAAGCTCTCGCAATTGTTGTGTATTCCAATAAAAACAAAAAAAAAAATATTTTATGAAATGAAAAAAAAAAACAACAAAAAAAAACAAAGCAAAAATTACTGCCGTACAACAAAAAGAAAAACAAGAAAATATATAGGAAGAAGCTAAATGTCTAGGTTAAAAAATACAAGAAAAGAAAAAAATACAAAAACATTTGCATAGTAATAGCAATAAAAATTTCAGAGAAAAAAGGACAAATGGATTTTGCAATTATGCTCACACACATTAGCACACATACATGAGTGTGTGAAAAACTTATAAGTTAATTATGCTGAGTTGTTATAAATTATGTATATTAGCATACACACAAACAGAGTCAGATAGAAGGAGAAGCGAATACATTATATGTATGTATATAAGAGAGATTGTTCCTATGAGACATTAGATATGTATTTAAGACACACACATACAGTCATACACACACTGAAGGACTTAATTGAGCAATACATATAAACAAAGGGGACAGTGTTAAAAATTCTGAAATGGACTTTAAAAACTCCCTTTTGTTCCATCAATAATTTATATGTTCAAAAAAGCTTTTAACTTGTGAACCAAACAAATAATGGTTTTCATGTCGAAACTTATTTAACTTAATTAAGAAAATGACATATTTATTTTAAAGTTAAGTTCAACTATTTTATTGAAACATTTATATTCAAATAAGAACTTTTTTTTACTTTTCTGAAAGTTTGATCTCAATACTAAATATATTTTAATATTTTTTTTTACAATATTTTTTATTTATAAATTAAGTTTTAAAAATTATTATTTTATAGAATTCATTATTTGAACTATGTGAAAAATACTTTATCTTAATTATTTATTATTCGTAAAAAAAGTTAATATTTTTTATTTAAACAAGCACAGTTTTATCTACATGCTTTTATTGACTGAAACAAGACTTTGAATTCGTTTTACTTTTTGCTCAATAACTTTGAATACATTTCTATTTAGGCAAAGACACAAGAAAATCAAGTTTAAAAAATGTTTAAGTTACATTATTGTCTTAACAAACACTTTTCTTTTGAGCGTGTGGACTGTAAGTTGTGTGGTTAGGATAGCATTTAGGTGGGGCATAAATGGTAACAAACTGACACATAATAATGAATATAATTATATATAAAATAAAAAAAAATAATATATATATATATATATGTATATGTATGTATATATATATATATATATATAAAGATAGTACCATATAGTTAAATAAAAAGCCATACAAAAAAATAAACAAAAAACAACAAAACATACTGAAATAAATATGAAAATTAAAACGGAACAAATACTTTGAGAATATGTTCATTGAACAAACACTGTTTTTAGAAAATTTATTGTTGAAAATGTTGTAGCCAATTGAGAAAATACTAAAATTAATAAAAAGCAAACAAAAAAAAAAAAAAAAAAACAAAAAAGAAAAAGCAAGGAACACACACGTTATAGTCACCAATTAAATGCAAAAGAAGAAAATTAGTCAAACGAAAATAAGAAAAGAAACAAAAACAAAAACAAAACCAAAAACTAGCAATATATAAAAATGAAAATGAAAAGTAAATATATAAAAATAATGAAGACAGGTGTATATATATTTTATGACACATATATCACCGCATATACTCGTATACAGATATATTTTTAATAAAACAAACACAACTGCAAAAGAATCCCCAAAAGGAAGGAAAACACAACCAACCAATAACTACTACAACTGCAACTACAACACAATTTTGTTGGAAATTTTCGTAACTTTTATTTACCAATAATGATTTGTCTCCACATACCCTAGCCATAAACTTTTTTTAACTTTCAAGCGAAACAGTGATATTTACGGTATAAACAAAATACGCTCCCAGATTGTAAAACTTTTCAAAGACCCACCTATAAAAAAACTTTTCTACACACTACAAAAACAATGAAAAATATATTTAAAAAAAAAAAACCTACCTCCTTGTTACACATGTTAAAGAATATGTCTCGTAAACACTGCCGTATGAACTCGCACATACTCGCTATATATCCTACATATAACCAAATCCGATCTGTACTTATGTTAAGCCCACCCGACTGCTATATCTCGTTCTCTCTCTCTATCCTGTTATCTCTGTCCTAGAAATTTCTAACAGAATTGTGCCGTGTCTGCTCCCTGTCTCTCTTCCTCCATTTCATTTACTGCTCAAACAGCATAGCTACATTAAAGGTATTTCTGGTCCAACTGCGAAAAGTAAAGGTTGTGTTGAAGATATTGTCATTTCCGATTTGTAGACTTATTTTGATCTGTTGGAGAGGTCACAACACGCAGTGTATATAGCAGTATTTTCTTCACATTTTCATCTGCTGTTATACACACGCATTTATGTATCAATTTCCCAGCCTCAACTTTTGGTAGGTCCGAACGAATATAGCATAAAAAAGGCCATTTGCGAACGTATCCAACAAATCTTAATGTGTACCTACACATAAACATTTCAAATCTCTCGACTGCAAAACGGAGAGAGTATAACTATTTCATGAAACTCACACACTCACATACACACCCACACACACACTGAAGTGTAAGCTGAACTTTAGATCTGAATGAATCTATATAGAGGGCAGTCGTTTTGTATGTTTTCATTTGATATAATGTAATTTTTGACAAACTGTTCTGTCCCTTTAAGGTTGTTTTAGCGAACAATGAAATAAATAATGAATGAAAATTAATTTCCATTTATTTAAAACGTCGAATACCCTTTCGTTTTTTTGTGATTCGCGCAATTAGCAATGTAATTCAATTGGAAATAGTATTTAATTTTTTTATATATAATTAATTAATTTAGTGCTTAACTTCGAGCAACTAGGCGCATAATTAGAACTACTATCTATATATATCTCTATATATATGTATGTCTTTTTGATAAAAAGAAGCTATTTTAAAAAAGCAAAACCATTTTCTACACTCTTTAAAAGAATGAAGTCTACATATATGTATAATACTATAGCATTAACTAGGCAAACAAAGAATACAAACAACAAAGATTAAAAATAAACTATAAATTAAGCGTCCTACATTAGGAAAGGGCTAACTTTAAAGAAAAACAAAAAACGAATTTAATATTACAGCAGAAAGTAATACGTTAATAAATTTAAAAAAAAAAACGTTTCACACGGCAAAATGTAGTTAAAAAACAAAAATCAAATACATTTTATGATTTGCTAAAGGTTAAAAAAATAAGAAGAAATGCAAAGTAAAAACTCTACTTACTAATACTTCTGATCAGAGAGTTTTACTGAATGTTTAAACTACTGAATAACAAAAGGTTGGCACACCCACACACACACACGCACATACACTCTTCATATACTACCAAACACACACACACACATTCGTCTTATTCTAAATAAAGTGCAGCTCGAAAAATTCATAAATTCCGTTTTACTTTTTTATTGCGAATACATTTTGTTGCATGTCTATGCATCTAAGACCCTAAAAAGGAAAATGAAAACGAAAGTCCCAAAGATCGGTTTACATTTGACACAAAATGTATATTTAATAATTAGCAATTAAATTAAAAATAAAAAAGCTTGGCTATAAACTGCAAACGTTAAACACTAACTCACCAATACAAAAACCGTTAAAAAATCCCAACGCCTCTCAATAAACAAGTCAAATAAAACCAGAAAATTAATATCCCAAAAACCAAAAGCAAAGAAAAACAAAAATCTACCAATTCAATTTAAATAGCTAATTGCATAATTATAATAATAAATCGTTACCGCAAATTGAAAAACTCAAGTTATGCATGTAAATTTAAAGATATAAAAACCAAAAAAAAACAAAAAAAAAATTAGCAAAACCAAAATAAAAAGTCTGTTGTCGATAAGAATTATTGACAGACAAATAACTTTCGTCACATTGACGATAATAATTAATTGTAAGCAGAAACGGAATTAAATGATTTAAATAGTAAATTAACTTTAAAAAAATCGAGAGAAATGATTGCGACAAAACATAAAAAAAAACAGAAATAAGGAAAAACTGAATAAAATTTATTTTGAAAAGAGAAACAACGAATTTTAATTTCATTCATATTCATTTGTTGGTAAATGTAAAGATATAGCTTTCAACCGATTTTGGCAGCTTATATAAATAAAAATTTATACTTTCACTATCCCCATTAGTGGCTTTATGTTTTAGAATATATAATATTTTTCGATTTCCAAAAGGGCAAAATTTATAAGGCCACATGGCTTAGCTTCAGTGTCGGCGGGAAGGGTCAGGAAGGGGTATAGGGGTATATACAGTAACTTATCTAACATGCTCTTTGCACTTGATGTATTAAAAGGGCCGGCTAACTTGCATATAACTAAGAAAATTCAAAACTGTAACAGTCGTCGCTACGAAAGCTTAACAGCATAGACACAGGGTGCCTTGTTAACAGTACACAATGTACGTTAACAGCATCTTATATTTTGCAGCCCTGGTCATACAGCTGATTGCACAAAGCAGAAACAAAAAATTGTTTTCATTGCCACAAAAATCAATAACCATAATTTATTAAAATAAAAGTAAAGAAAATGAATATAGATCTACGCAAATTGTGCCGCATTTGTTTTGTGGATAATGCGGATGTCGACATAACCCAGCATAAAGTTGTAACAGCGGGTCAAGCGAATGAAGCGGAAACCGATGAGGAGGATCACACAATATGTGAAATAATGGAGGCCATGTTTGTGGGTTGCAAAGAATTCAAAATATAAATTTTAAAAAATTTGGTAATATTTTTATATTCTTGCAGCACATCTCACTAGATCTATCAACTGAGCTACCTATGATATGTAATGCGTGCCTCGAGGAGAGCTTAGTGCATTTTGCGTACTTTAGTAAATTGATGATTGCCAACCGACAGCTGCGACAACTCTATAACGAAGCGCAAAAGGAACGGGAGCAATTGGAATTAGAGATGGAGGAGGAGGATATGCAACTGGTTGAGGAGCATCAGCTGAAGCAGAATGAAGAACTGGAGCTTCAGCTGACGGAGCAGCTGCCAAAGCACGAACAGAGGCAGGAGCAGCATCTTCTACTGGAGCCACGTCCCTCTCAGCGTTTGGCTAACGAAGATTCCTTGATTGTATCCGAATTTTTGCCCGCTACTGAACTAGATGTGCAGGAGCACGATAACATATCCAATCAGCTTGCCCACTTTCCCAGCTACGAGATGCGTACGCTAGACTATGCAGCTGTCGAACTTAAGCATGACAATCTAGATGAATACAATGAGACGAATCGTTTACTAGACACCGAACCAAGTGGCAGTCAAGCTATATACAAATGCAAATATTGTCCTTTAGCTTATGCATCACAGCAATTCCTTAAGACTCATGTGAGGCGTTCGCACGTTTGCAAATATTGCACTACAGCTTTTGTCAAGGTGAAAGACCTGAATGCCCACATCCGAGCTAAGCATGCGAATAGCCATCAATGTGTTGTTTGTTTAAATAGCTTCAGCACCAGCAGCAATTTACGTGCGCATTTAAAACGGATGCACGGCGTCCAGCTGCCCGCCCAGGTGGCTTTACTCGACTATCGACCAGCGCAAAGGCAGAAAGAAACAGAACATAGCATCAATAACCATAAATAAATTTCGCCTAGTATCTCTATTCAATTTTAAGTTAAATTGCTTTTTATTGTCCAGTTCACTCTATCTCTCACCAATTGGCCTTTATCTTTATCTAAGCCATCGATATACATAGGCGTAAACTCTCGATAGGCAATGCATACCCTGCGCTCAATCACGTCCTCCCGCAGAACCGAGTGCTCGAACTGATATCGAGATGGTCCATATAGCACGATTAAAGAGAGGCTGTAAAGACGGAAGCAATCTATTAATGGAGTTCTCTTAAATGTAAAAATAAACATTGTTTGAACGGTTTACAGTTCATAAAACCTTTCTGACTAAAAGGTTTATCTTATTTATCTCTACTGAGAACTTGATGGCATGACAAACATATAACACGTGTGGGTACAGTTGTGTGCAGATAGAGGATACAACGATGGCTACTCACTTATTCATGGGTATACGTAGCACTTTGTCCTTAAAGCCAGCCAACTGTTCATGCGTTAAAAGCGGTTCTAGAAGCTCTTTTTTATATTCCGGCAGCAAATCCAAATTATATTTGCCAGGCAGCTTCTGGTCGTAGAGACTTAAAGTCAGCACTGCATTTCCGAGACAATTGACTGTGACCACCCGTTCTCCCCAAATCCAACAATCGTCCACATGGGGATCTATGCTGGCTCCCTTGCTCGGCTCATACTCCAGCGAACATTGCTCGATGGTTTGAAAGTTCCGCAACAGTGGAACGGAATCGAAACGCTGCTGCACATAACGTGTGACTGCGGGAAATCCCTCAAAGGACCCCAATTGTAGGCGTCGTTTCTTAAAGTTCGTCTTCGGCCCGTAGTTCTGCTTGCGACGTCCACTCTGTGAAATATCCCAAGGCAGGTCATCCAGATCAGCTATGAGCTGGGATCCTTCAGCACTTGACAGAAACTGCTCCTGCACGTATATGCCAGGTAGTGTCAGGCTATCAGTCAAATTGTGCTCTGAATGAGCAGCCTGCACAGCCTGCGTATCCCATCCGGGGTAAAAAGTTTTGCATTGCGTACAATACGCCCAGGATTCCAGCTGTTGTAACTGCTGTTGGAGGGAAGGTTTTTCGATGTGAAAGTTCTGTTCACAGGATAAACAGGTACGAACACCTTTACAGCCACAAGGACGCAGTGTATTCATATTAAGCCAAAAATTTAAAAATCAAAATTGCATTAACTTTTGCTTGCGCGAATTGCCAAACAGCTGTTCCTTAAAACAAGTGGCAACTCGAGCACACGCGTTACACGACACAATTGATCGTATGTCAAGCCCCGTAGCTATTGTTTTAATAAGCAGCATATAAAAAATGAAAAACAATTTACGCAAATTTAAAAATGATGCGAGCATTTTAATATTACGCATATTTAGATATAATGCATATATATAATATACAAATGATATTTACAAGAATTTTACACTTCGGACCGCCACAAACAAGAGAGAAAGCTGGCAACGTTCAACAGTAGGCGCTCTCTGAACTACATCTAACTATTGCTTTTCATAATATTTTAACGATATGCTGGGAATTAAATTGGTTATTTTTAAACTGCTGGCATGTTAGGATTATAGGTTTTGGACACTCAAAAGGTTTTTTTATTTCTCATGGGTTCTCAATTTGGTGGGTTCTGTTGCAGGTTTACTTTGTTGAGCTAAATTAAGTTCAACATATTACTATACGTATTTAATCAACATAAATTATTCTTCTTAACTAAAAGTTATAGAAGGTTAACTTAAAAGTTTTCATAGTAACATTTAACAAATATTCAATTCTAATTATGAACATTACATTTTTAAATATTTCTTATTCGGTTGTAAGGTATTTATAAGTTATAAATAGCCATTTCCTTAATCGTTACTATCGTCTACATGTCCAACCATTACTGACGTGTGTGAGCCTATCATTACCATTTCGCGCGTTTTGATGATTGCATAGCTTTGGTGTTTTCTTGTACAAAGTATTATTATACGCATTTAAACAACATGAACGATTCTTGTAAGTTTCTGCTTTTAGTAATTGCAATATATACTGTTATTAATTTGCTGTGTTCATTTAGTTGGTGATTTCAATGCCACACAAACGGCCACGGCAGGCGCCACAAAGGAATCTTCCGGCGAGGTAAATTGAATGTTTTATTATAATTAAATATACACATATTTAATAATGTGCTATGCAGGGCATTATTTCACTGCTGGTGAAGCAAATACTTGATTCACCCGAAGGCAATTTTAAGATGTTCGATGTAACCTACGCTTTGGTGTGTGTCGTGGGAATAGTGAGGAACATCGAAACATCGTCGACAAAGATTACCTATTCTTTGGAGGATCACAGTGGACGCATCGATGCACACTACTGGCTGGAAGAAGGCGATGCGGTCAAAGCGCCCGATGTCATGATCAATAACTACGTCAAAATCTATGGCTCGGTACGCCCGCAGGCAGGCCAAAAGGTTTTGATGGTCTTTAAGCTGATCAACGTGCTGGATCCCAATGAAGTGTGCACCCACGTACTGGAGGCTTTGCACTCACGTTATAAGGCCGAGGAGTATCACGTGAAAGGCAATTCGTCACATGCTCCAAGCAATACGCTCATGAGCAATGTGTCAGCTAGTCAGAGTAATGCAATTGTTGCTGGTCTGGATAGCAAGCAGCTGGCTGTCTTCCAGGCGATCAAGAGCAACTGCTCCGAGGAAGGCATAAATAGACGTGAACTCAAAGCCAAGTTCTCGCAAATAAGTCAAACTGAATTGAAGTGAGTGTCGGAGGAACCCTTTATTATCTATTAATACTTTAATTTTTTCCGTTAGCAATATTTTGGACTTCATGATCTCCGAGGGACATATTTACTCCAGCATCGATCCGGATCACTTTATATGCACAATGTAGTAATCAAGATTAATCATAATATTCCATAAACTATATATACATTTGTAAAACAATCGAATACGAGTCGAAAATTGCGTTAAAATGTTGATTTAAAGCATTTAACCCTTGACTTCTTTTTTCAAATTTGTAAAGTATCAGTAATCTAACTCTGTATTATATTATATACCCTCTAGAAGCTTAATATTTGATATATTGTTGCAATTCTGTTTAAATTCATTTCAAATTTCATTTTCACACTTAGGAGGTGCGCTCTTCAGAACAGTTTACGAATCGAAACACGTTTCAATCTTTGAGGAAGTACATTTTAGTTCCGTAATATGTTACAATTTTAAAAAGCCTATTGAAAGCAAATGTTGCCTGATTAGAATATATCTAACAATATCCCATATTTCTCTTAGTTGAGTGAATTGACCGAAAAACAGCATATTTTGTGTTAGTTAACGAAGCTAGTTGTAAACAGAGCTAAATTCTCTATTTGATCTTTGTATCAGTCAGTTTTATAAAAGAATAGTTAGTTAACTAAATCCTTAAATCCTTAACCCGGATTTTTATCAGTTATTTCGTGATAAATTGGGTTTCTTTCTCTTCCAACTGAAATGAATGAAAATAATGTTCAAAAGCCGAAGTAATTTTTGACTGCTTTATAAAGCGAATAACCCATCCCATATACAATATATATATATATATTGTAAAAAAATTTAAAATTTTCCGTTTGATTTTGTATCTTATTTTCTCTTGAGATTTTCTTTTTATTACAGTGGTTACATTTTTTCTTGAACGCTCTTTCTCTTTCTCTTAAACTTAAATACTTAATCAAGTTAAACCTGTTTTCAATCAAACAAAATGCTGCTTGGTGCTCAATACTAATCGTTCTTTCTATATACATACTATATTTTATATATATATATATTTATATCAATATATAGATATATATATATTTATATCTACATATGTGATGTATAGATCTGGCGCTTATCGTTTGCTTCCAATATGGAAAATAGTCAAAATGCTCTCTGTTTCCTCCTCTTCCACTTTCTGGGAGACATGCAAATCAGTCTTATGTGCCTGTAGGTGGGCGTGGCTGGGGCAAATGCGTAACATGTGGTACATGTTGACACTGGGAACTCGTTACTCAGATTTTCAAGCAGCTGCGGTGGCTACCGCTGCGCGCATAGACCTCCTCGAAGGCATGGATCAGCTCATCCATGCCATGGAGCAGACCCTCCTCTCGATTGCCTGGCTGCCAGGGACTGCGATGATTGACGCACAGGTGTGGCGGCAGCTGTCTGGACTTGGCAAAATCTATCAGCCAAGCGCCCATGCGGTGATCATCATACACAATAAACAAACTTGAGCCAATTATTTCATGGCGATTGAAGAACGCCGACTGTTCGATGACCAGGCGCATGTGCTTCAATCGCTTCAGAAGTTCCTTTTGCACGGATCTGCGTGCGGCAAGAAACTGTTCGATAGTCTGTGAGATTTGCTCGCTGCTGCGGCACGTCTTGAGATCCTTCAGAGGTGCACGTCCACGTAGTCGCAACGCCTCAATGCGAAAGCCTTTGCTGTGCGACGACGACAACGACTCGCGGAAGAGCATGTAGCGCAGCTTCGTAACCGCCTGTGCCTCGTGCTCCGCGGGCGTCGGTGCACTTGCGTCAACAGCTATCATTTTCTGATACAAATCCGGACGCAAGGTCTGGTTGCTGACCTCCGATTCGAGAAAGGTGCGAGTTCCAAGCTTAATATCCATCACACACGGATCTTTGAAGCCTGCCAACAGATCCTGCAGTTCGATATAATGCTGCGTTTGCAGTTCCCGCAATCCAAAATACGCGGGCACTATCTGCAACGTCTTCGGCTCCTGCGAGATCTGCTGATAGGCCAATACTTCGCTGTCCTCAATCCCAGCGATCCGTTTGCGCACAATGCCCGTCGAGGTAGGCACGATGCTAAATGGGGATGAAAGGGAGAAAGAGTTTGGTTTATGCTTTACTTTTAGAGGATTGTTATTGTAGTGCTTACCTTTCGGGATGTCCGGAGAGCTGCATCCAGCCGTGTGGCTTGTATTGCGTATGTTGATGTTCCAGCAGCAAGGGCGTGGCAGGTGCGCTCAGCTCCAAAGCGTTCTAAAAAGAATAAAATGGAGAGTGAGAATTGGTATTTCAATAGTATATGGGAAGTCCCCTTAAATAGATCTCTATAATACATTGAAAACTGTCTCAGAAATAGGATTAGAGTGAGAGAGACAGATAAAAAGGCATAGAAGGCGAAATAGATTAGTCGTTATATGAAATGAAGAGATTTAGTCTTATAAAGAAAAATAATTGGATAAGAACAATTGAGTTATAGAGGAAGCAAGCGATCGAAATAAAGCAATTTGATGTTAACCAAGTAGAAATCAAAGTAGAGAGTATAACGATAAAAATTCGAAAATAAAATCATGACATTGTCAAGGACACAAACAAACTCATAGACAGTAAAGATGTACACAAAGCTGAAGCTATAACGGAATGCGGAACTGCAGCAAAATTAAGCCTAGCTTATCCCCAACAGAAGCCCCAATTAAATGCAGTGCTAAAGATTTAATTAACATCAGAGAGCGATCAATATTCATCGCAGTATTCGTTATATAATAATAATAATTGACGGATATTCCATTCAATCCCAGTCACATGCCACAATTGAACTAAACAATTTATTGAAAACAATTTCAACGAATTCCAAACAGAGTTTTGGAGTTCATATGCCCAATTGTGGTACAAGGGTGCAAAAACCTACTGATAACGGGAAAGGAAATAAATTGAAAAATGGCAAGAAAAAAGAATTTCACACTTGTCGTGATATCTCGCTACAGCGACAGAGCCAAAGAAGAAATTGAAGATGAGCTTTTGCTTTTTTTGGCTTTTTTGTTTTTGGTAAAACTGGTTTTAATCATTTTATCTATATATCAAGCGATGCTGATTATAAACATTCAAACAAAACAAATTTTATTATACTATATCCGGCTTATATACTTTTTGTTTATATTTTTGTAATGAGAAATTAATGCAGAAAGAAGCTGGCAACAATTGTTCGCGTATTGTCTGAGGTTCCAAGCAGGAAGCATTTTGAGGCATTTGCTTTTATCATCGGTGATTATCATAAACGTTCATGATACCAGATATACCCCAACCTTAGTCCCCTACCTAACGAACTGGTACTTACAATGGCCAAGAACTTGAGCAGCGACATGTGCTGCTGTGTCGTGGGCGTCGATGGCTCCACGAATCGGGCCTGAGCGACTCCTCTTTGCAGGCTCAAATAGTCGGCCAAGTTGTCGCAGTTATCGTAGGGTATCGCTAGGCGCTGTAGAATAGAAACATATATATACATATAGCGACTATATATATTTTGACGTCAGTGCACTGCGTGAACCCCAACACGCGGGGCAAACAAACAAATGAAAGCAAAACAAAAAACAAGGGCGTTTAAATGGAGCTGGCCGTGCGAGCGGATACCCAGCAAACTGGGAGAATATGCTCCGATTTGTATTCCTGTAACCAATTATCAGATTCGAAATACTAGTTTAAAGTATTCACTTGAATTTCTAATATACCAATAGAAACGATTTGAAGAGTCTGCATAAATTTATATTCCTCAGATAACTTTTTATTTATTATCATAATTAGTTGAAATGTTACACATATCTAAGAGTAGACTTAGACGAATACCCTGTAAATTAGCTTCATAGGGAACTTAACGCTTGGACTTGCTTTCAGTCGATGCGAAATCAAATACCCTGTAAAGATTTGTATATTCAATGCTTTTAGTTGCAGCCGACGTTACTTGGCTAGCCTTTAAGATACCCCTTAACGCGAAGCCTGTGACTCACTAACATTAGCATCTTAAAAATTAAAAAACAAAAAGCCAGCCCCTTATTAATTATACAATCAAAATGCAACAGCAAAGTGCAAAAAATTCTATTTTGTTTACGCTGCCTTCGCTTCGTATATGGCTTATAAACGGCTCGTTTTTATTTTATGGATCTTTCGGCCTGGACTGGGGGCCATTTCAATGCTCATGCCATTTGATCGATGTGTGTGGCTCTCCAACGTGCCCCCTAATGAGGTACTTAGTATGCAAAGTTGAATGTGTTTATCCAACCGGCTGTTGTTCTTACTTTTGTTGTCGTTGTCATTGCTGTTACTGCTGCTGTTGCTGTTTCGTATCCATAAATTGAGTTATATGCTTAAAAGCTGTTTGGCTATAACAAATTACGAATCCGAGCTCGAAATACTTTAATTAATTTCAACTAACTGTGCAGCTAATTGTTTATCCACAGCATCTTTATATAGCCCGCTGCTGGGCTTTAGGCGAGGGTAAATCTTATCTGTTGTCAGTTTCAACTCTTATCGCTTATCAGTTGCGATAGCAATGCGTCTTTACTGTATTTTCTTTTAATTCATAAGTCAAGCAAGCTTTGTGGCAATGACTTGACATGAGTTGTGCCTTTGTAGATACGTATATACAAATATATAACTATTATATTATATATATTATTTTTATGAAAGGTTAACAAATTTGCATTTGTGGCACATTGCCTGACATATAGATATAAGTGGAATTATCTATATACATATACATACATTGCTATAAAGATAATGCATATGGTCGAGGCTTAGATAGCTTGGTTTCTATGTGTACAGTGGTGCAAAAATATTGATAAGAGTTATTTGTAAAAATATGGTAAACATTTAAATGAGATTTCCATTTTAAAAAATAACATGTTTATTTTTTTAATTGAATTTAGTTGATATTCAAATCAAATAGATTTAATGCACGAGCTTTCTGCGCAAACAACAGTTGAACTTGTTAAGTTGGCTGCAGCTGTTGTGTTTCAACTGTTATGTTAGCTGTGGCTGTTAGACTGTGTTAGCTGGGGCTGTTAGGCTGATACTTTTAAAGTTGACTGGAATGCATATCAAATAGCAAATAACATCTTTTTATCTTTTTATCAGGCAACACTTATCTATCAAATTGAGAATTGTCCCGTTTCAGCCAGCTTAAGATGCATAACACACATTTGGCAGCCCCTGAAACGAAGCCACGGATAATCAAGAATGAAGTAATAAAACGCTAATCAATCTATGCACAACGTGGCCCATTGTTAGGCATATTTTCGCAGCGTGTCGTATGCGATTAACCAATATTCGAGGTAACAACAATTCGAGTCGTGTGCTAGCAATTCCATTTCAGAGCTGACCTTTATGAATATTACAAACGAGCCGCATGCAACAGAAAGAGTTGGCATGAGTCAATTAGAGTGAGACATCGTAATAGTTGACAACATTTAATTATAGCAACGTATACACGGACGTCACACAGCTGCTGCTTCGTTCTATTTTTATTTTATTTTACTATTATTATTCTAACATTTTTCATTGACAACTGGAACGGGTGCAACTACATTTAGCTCATGCATTAGTAGGGGTCTACGCTAAAGTTAGTGCAATTTTGCACGTAGCCTCTAATGGTATGTTGGTTCAAATTCAGCTCAGAGCTAAGATTAGTACAAACCTTAAAAAGGGCTTAGCTAGTGTTCACCCAGCTACATCGTTTGTTTTCTTTTGTGGTTGCTGAATAGAAATTTGTTTATAATATGAATAGAAAAGACGACCGCAGAGATAATTAGATCTGACATTCGCACACAAATGCGTAATAATTCGCAATGTAATAAAAGCGAAAAACAATTGTAACCAAAAGTTACAGCATTTTCAATGTTATTCTCCCAATCTCTTTTTTCCGTTGCGCTCGAGTGCAGCGCGACTCGTGCGCGACTTGAGCGCGTTTTAAAACGCGGCCGTTTTTTTTTTTTAATTTATTTTTAGACGGTGTTTAACTAAGCCGCCGTTTTACTAGTGTTTATTTATGACTACTTAATATTATCGTTTTTCGAACGTGTTAACTCAAGAACAGACGAACAAAAACAAAAATAAAAAAATAAAAAACAAACAAAAAACTTAAAACAAAAAATAAAACAAAACGTCTCGAAGATCAAATTTATGCGCGTGACGTCAAAGCGCGTAGAGCTGTAAATTAAACAAATTCAAGTTGCCCGAATTTGTCAAATTGAAACTTCAAGCTTAAACTTTTAGTTGTTTATATGCCCTGTAGAGAATTGAAAGTGGGTAGCCTGAAAGCTAAGAGTGATATGAACACAGGCATTCAATTTAAATATATGATGAAGCCTTCGATGCATATTTAAAAAATACATAAACATATATAAAACCTGTATACCAAGCCATAATTTTCTCTTAAATAGCTCTATCGTATTATAAAAGCTAGTCACTATTTTATATCTATAGATACATCTGTGAAGCATATTTAAATAAAAACAGTTTTATTAGCATTCCTCTTTAAGTTAACCAATTAGAAAACATATATCGAAGTGCGATTATAGTAGGTGACATAACTGTATACTGCGTATCTGCCAGTCGTTAATTTAATAACAATAAAGCTCCAGTTTAATTTTTGTTTTCATTTCATTTTCTTCATATGCTCAGCATTTTAACCTGTGGAGACGTGCGCTCTGCACGTAACTCGTGTGGCAGTGGCAACAGGTTCCAATTTTCAACTGAAAACTAGTTTTCCTTTCGGCATCCGGATTTGGCGGCCTTTAGGTGTAGGTGACTCGAATGTAGCCTCCTTTTTGGTTTGTTAGTGGAACACAGCCCTGACATTCAATAAACTGGGATGTCGTAGCCCTCAAAGACGCAGTGTCTGCATAGAGCAAAGGAGAGGGGAGGATGGGAAAAAGCCAGGCTGAATTCACAAGTCGATTGATTTGCATTGACGTCAATGCATTGCGAGCTCCAGAGGGGGTATACGAGGAGAGAGGTAGGGATAAAAATATATATATCTATATATATATACATATATATTTATATATATATGTATATGTATATGAAACCAGTTATGGATTATAAAACATAACGCATTGTAGTTAAGTTTTGTGAAACGAGCCGCCAGAAGAGGAGCGCAGGGCCCCGAATGCGATTTCAGACCTGTATATTAAGCCTCTCTCAGCACATGTATAATATATCACATAAGTATATCATAAAATAGCTGTTAGCTTTTAACAATTAGCTCATGTATAGTAAAAAATCAATCCGTTTCGCTGAAGAGCAGCTTCGGTAACTTAAGTTAATAGACATCATTTCCTAGTAAAAATAAACTTATACTAGGAATCGCTATGATTAATTTCCTTTCGTGTTAAACTTAAATAATTTGTCAATGAGTCACAAACTCCAAAAAAAAAACCAAGCCAAGATGTGACTAAGGAAGACGTCATAGAAGGAAGGAAGGGGGTAATCCCTTTGCTAAGCCATCGAAAAGAGTACACAGATTCACCCTGAACTTTACTCTATATTCATGAGGCCGGACAGACAGCCTTCGTACTAGACAAGTTCGCAATTTTTCAAAAAAGAAAAAAACACTTATCAAAAGCCTTGATCCAAGCCAAAAAATTATGTATATAAAAAATTTTAATAATAACATTTGGTCTGGGGCTGATAATAATTTAGCAGCTGCTGACAGCGTGGGCTGCTGCACTTGACAGTTAAATCTTATATTCAAAACGATTCAAGTGCGCAATGTACACTGAGCGAAATATTTCGAGCATTTCAAAAATTAAAAATCAAATTTTTTGAAAGATGTTTAAAAAAACTTGAATATATATATATATCTCTTGAGAAACAGAGGGAGATAGACAGATATAGAAAGAGTAAAGAGCTGAGCGAAACAGCGTTGAATAAAAGGCTTTCAATTGTTTTCAATAAAATGAATTGATTTGTTGTCGCCAAGAGGCATGTGACTATATAAGAGGAGTCCATAGTGGTATAACAAGAGTACAGTGAACGAGCGCTAAATACAATTCCACCCTTTATAATAATTTTCATTTAAATCTTATAAGATTTGACAGGAATTCAAATATTTGCATTCATAATAATTCTTATAAATATTCCTTCTATTCTAACTGTCGAGCGTTTACTGTACCACACTGAAACATTGGATTTAGCTTGTCTTAATTAGCAGTTAGTTTTTTTTGCTTTTTTTTTAGCAAATGCAAATGGACGTTACGTGGGTTACTGGAATTTCAGTGTTTGTACGCCGCATAACTGCTGGAAGGAAATCCGAACAGTTGTTTCAACAAGTGCTCAAGATAATGGGGAATATTGTACGGAATGAATGGACATAGTCATGTGTCAAGTGCGAGAGCGGTGGGTGGCTTGCTGTTGAGTCTTTGGGTCACTTTCTCTGCTTGCGTTGCTTTCTACATCCGTGTATTGCCCCTGCTCAATTGACGTCATAAGCTCTCTTAATATTTAACTGTTATTTTTTGGTTTCTTGGTTTTGTTTTTGTTTTGCTCCCTTGTTAGCTTTCTTTTTGGTTATTTACCTCAGTGTTGGTGTGATTGTTGCTGTTGCTGGTTGTTTTTGGCTGGTGGTGCTCTACATTGCCAGACTTTTCGGCTGGCGGCGTTGCCGTATCCAATGCAATCAGTTTCCATAGCTGCTTCAGGCCAATGTTGTCGATGCATGAGAAACGTAATTTCTCATGGGACCAGGCCATCGTAGAGCGATTTCTTCTTGTTGTTGTTGGTGTTGCTTTTGTAGCTTGTTTTTCCACCGTTGGTGTTGTTGTTGGACGCTGCAGCACGGTGGAAGTCATAGTCATTTGGTTTTAGTTCTAGTTATCCGTTGCACAAAACTTGTGAGCTCTGTCTCTCCCGTGTTCAATAACTGTATTATGCGCTATGCTCAACAGATTTGCATATTTTATTTAGCTGATATTTTTATCTTTGCATATATCTCTTAGTGTTCTCTTTTACTTTAGTACACTGCATTTGCGTTTTATCTTCTACTCTTCTCACACTGCACTTCACTTAGGCTTCGGCTTCGGCTTTGGGTCCGGCTTTTGCTTCGAATTTGTTAAATTTTATTTTATTTTGTGTGTTTACTCTTGTGCCCGTTATGCGAAGTATTTTGTGAACACAAAAGCCGTTTGAATTTTAATTGATATTCAGCGCACACGAAACGCAGTCCAGCTGTTCACGCGTTCTACTCTGTGGGGCGACTAACTGGTTTACCCACTCTGCGGTCAGTTTTGTACAAAAGCTCAGCGTTCGCTCATCGGCAGTGACGTCGGCAGCGCTGCTAAAGACGAACGCAAATAAAGGCGAACATCGCAAGTCGCGACTCGCTACGCTTCGCTCAGAGCACAGCAATGATGTAGAGCAAGCGGTCGCAGCAAAAACCGTATGCTCTGACTGCAAAGAGCGGCTGGATTTCACGAGTGTAGACAAAAGCGGTTTTTAAGAGAAATTTCCAGAAGAAGAGAATAGCGAGGATCGCTGTTGAGATAGCAGAATATCTGTCCTTAGAGCACTGCCTGACTCCACCATAGACTACATAACTATGGTGTACAACGCCATGCTCCGCATCCGGCACTTTCCAGCCTGCTGGAAGCGCGCCGTGATTGTGATGATTCCTAAGCCTGGCAAACCCGTGGGAGAAATTGAGTCGTACAGACCAATTAGCCTGTTGCCAGTACTCTCCAAAATATTCGAAAGAATATTTCTGGAACGAGTACTGACACATCTGGGACGCCAGGAGGCCATTCCAAACCATCAGTTTGGCTTCAGGAGACAGCATGGAACACCGGAACAGGTTCACAGAGTTGTGCACCATATCCTTGGAGCCTTTGAAGAAAAGATGTACTGCTCTGCCGTCTTTTTAGACATCAAACAGGCGTTTGATCGAGTTTGGCACCTGGGACTGCTGCAGAAAGTGAGGACCACCCTTCCAGCCCCATTTTTCGCGTTGCTATCCTCATACCTTATTGGAAGAACCTTCCAAGTGTCAAGGGGGCAAACAGTATCCTTGACTAGACCAATTATGGCTGGAGTACCACAGGGTAGTGTTCTAGGCCCAACACTTTATACTTTATTCACAGGAGATATGCCAACTCCCGAGCCAAATATAGGAAGTACAGATGCAGTACTCATAGCGACCTATGCAGATGACACCGCCATCTTATCACGTCACGTATCTGCGCAAGAAGCTTCAGACTCACTACAAAAATATCTGGACTCTTTCGGACGCTGGGCAAAACGGTGGTGTATCACCATTAATGCACAAAAGTCTGTACATACTACCTTCGCCACTAGAAGAGGAGATTGCCCAAGCGTTGCATTGGGGCCCACTATTCCCAAAGCCTCAAAAGTAAAGTACCTTGGTATCACTCTTGACAGAAGGCTGACTTTTAAAGCGCACATAAGTCAAGTAACCTCAAAATGCAAAAGCAAGCTAAAAACCCTCGACTGGATGCTGAGAGCTTCAAGCAAGTTGTCTTACAGCAGCAAGGCCGCCATCTACAAGGCAATAGTTGTCCCAACCTTCGTATATGGTATCTCTCTATGGGGCTCCTCGGCGAAGACTACAAGGAACAAAATTCAGACCCTGCAGAATAAAGCACTACGCAGATGGACTGGAGCCAGCTGGTTTGTAAGAAACTCAGTCTTACACAGGGATTTAGCAATTCCCACAGTTGCTGAACTCATTGGGCGACACAGTTCAAGATACGCGGACAGACTTGCAGCGCATCCTAACCATCTCGCAAGCAACCTGGCTATAAACAACAATAGGCGAAGACTGAAGAGATTGCATCCTCTAGACAATATTAGAACTAATTAAGATAGTAGCTACAAGTGCAGAATAATTGGCATATCTGCCCTCCCATTAGTTAAGGTTTAGAGCTAAATGCGCTATAGAGTCTAAGACAATAAGCTGCAACAAAATAAAGAAATAAAAAAAATTCAAATAAAAAAAAAAAAAAAAAAAAAAAGAATATCTGTAAGGAATGAAAGAAGGGAGAGCGGGGAAGGGCCACAACCTACATTCGTTTGTTATGATTCCCATGGGGTGGATCTGCAACCAAAACTATCGCGCCTCTCCCAACAAGTGCGAAGGGCGGGGCCCATTAAGACAGAAATAAACCATATATCATTGTTCATATTGATGAAATCTATGTGTAGCAATATAGAAATACCTATATAGATGGGTATGTAGAAAATGTATATAAAAACGACACTGCAAATAACTTTGTTGCTAATAGAGATAAAGCGCCAGAGAGAATTGCAATAAGCAAAGGCAGTGAGGTAATTAAGCTTAGAAAAGGACAAATTTAATATTCGCAGCACTAAAATTGACAGGTCAGTAACATATAATAATTATATTATTACACAATTATGTGATATTATTTATAATTATAATTATATATACATATACATATTTACATAAATGTAAATTATCTTGTTTAATATAGAAATCATGGATATGCATACTGAATTGATCTTAAAGATTCCCGGAATAATAACACATAGTTTGAGATGTTGCATAATGGTGTTTACTTTATCCACTATCTGCGATGCGCAGTTGGCTTTGCGTCGCAATTAGATAAGATATATCGAAGCTACAACTCGTAAACCCAAAAGTCGTCCACATGGCGCCAACTAAGGTCAGAATCAGGCATTGAACTGTCTGGAAGTTGTTTATCCACATTGTTGAACTGATCTTTTAAAGAGGGAATACTTGGTACACATCTGAGACTACGCCATCTGCATTGCTAATGGACATACGTAAAGCTTCTTGGGAATTATGCAAATAACGCAATCCCAGATCTGCGCCAGTTTCTTGAGCTCTTTTCTTTTTTGTTTTCTTGGTGCAGGCCATATCGGTTCATGGCCACCGCAAGGGAGAGTGCAAAATGCGCATATTTATGGAACCCTGAGTCGGAGAGAGAGACGGATCCGGAGTCAACAACTGGGGAAGGGGGCCGTAATGTACGTCAGACCGCATACGAGTGACATACAAACCCCAAGTTGAGTTTCGACATCGTTGCATGCTCCACATGGCAGCCACATACGTCAGCCCCAGCCCCAGTCCCACTCCTAGAGAGCCGCGAGGGTGGAGCAGGAGCAGGCCCCAATTGTTATGCGTAGCCAATAGCAAATGCAAATTTCTCATATGAGGCCCCAGACGCGAAGAACCCGCCGCGAATGCATTGAACTTTCCATATGCGCTGCAACGTGGCGTATGCGTAATGCAATCAACACAAATTTAACAGCTGCACGTGACCGCAACTAAATACTATTATATACGGAATCGTAAAGAAAAACAACTGAATGGGTTATAATTAAAAATGGAAACAATAATAATACTGCGGTTTGACTGTTTCAGTCATAGAAAACTTTTAGAAAATGTAACAAACACAAAAAAAAAGGGTTAAGAATACATGAAACTGCAATACAAGTAGATATTTATGTATAGCCTGCATTGTGCGCTGTACTATAGGAAATTAGTTAATCTGTAATATGTGTAGCATCTTAATTAAATTTGTAAAGCAAAGTAAGCACACTCACATGAAGTAGATTAAGAAAAAACCAAAAAGAAAATGTTAAAAAATAAATTTTTTTAAATATACGAAACAAAGCCTTAATATGAGTGTGTTTTTAACCAATCTTTATAAAGCTTAAGGAAAATTTTATTATTTTGAGTCAATCTGATAAGTCGGAAGGGATTTACAAATGCATGCAGGTGGAACTAAAAGAAATGAAGGGTCACAAATAGCTATAAGTGCAGTTCAATATTAACAGATTCTCGGCTTAAATTAGTAAGTTTAACTTTAATACAATCAACTGTGAAAAATGAATAATCCTGATTTTAAAATTTCAATAGAAGCTAATTTAAATAAGCAAGTTGTTAGCATCTAATCAACTAATCTATTTAAAAGGAGATGACGCATAATTTTTTCCAACAAATTAAATTTTGTGTTTCAATGGTGCAATCCAGTAATCAAAGTAACAAGTGTCCGAAATAAATCTGCTTAATTATATATAGAAAAATGGGTAAAGAAAATTCTATACTTTTCGAAAAACAAAACATTGCAAATGAGACACAATAGATAGATAGTTAGCAGTCTGTATTGTATTTAAATGAAAAGGAACTGGATAACCTTCGCTTTAGATGCCTATTTTCTCACTGATGTAGATCGACATTCATAAAAACACACAAACTCTGACTAATCTCAAAAACTGAAAGCGAGAAGCCACTTGTGAATCAAGCGAATCCTAAAACACATTTCGAGCAATACAAAATACAGAAATACCCGCTTGAGTTCGAGTGAACGATTAAGCAATTAATTGAATGAGTATTCAAAGTGCCAATTTGTGTGGAATATTTGTCATGGCAAGAGGCGAAGCACATTCATTCATAACACTCATGAATGCTCCCCCAGACCGACCCGAATGGTAAATGCAATTCGAATGCATTTTGCGGGGCTGCATATTAATTAATTCAAGCTCTATCAAATCTCCCAGATCTTTTGCTCGAATGTCGCTCTCAAATAATCATCGAGTCGAACGCACGAACGAACGTTTGCTTGTGTAAGTGCGCGAGAAATGCCCAAGCTTCAAGTTTGCTGACGTCAAACGTAAATTTTGCCTCACTGGAGACTTGGGTTGGTTGGCTTGGGAGAGTGGGGTATCGTGCGATGATTACTGGCATTTCTCTGTCATGATCATCATCAACAGCAGCAGCATCGGCATTAGCAACGGAATCTGCCAAGTAACTGGAGGCTGGCCCCAGGGCAGAACTCTGACAGCTAAAGTGTCTTTCTGTGCGCTTCACTGACCATCATCATCATCAGACAAACAAAGACACAAAGACAAAGATACGGAGCGCTGACGCAATTGAAGAGAGCTCCCAGCTTCAAGCTCCAAGTTCCAAGCTCCAGCTCCCACTTTCGCGCTGACGATTGACGTTTCTTTGTCGAACACCCTTGACGAGGGTATTTTAATTAGTTGACAAAGAATGTTAGCTATCAAAGAACAGAAAAAATAATTGATCGATTAAGAGCTGAGAAGCTAAAACATGCAAATTAGTTACATTTTGTGAGGTGGCTTTGTGAAAGAGCTGACAGAGAAGTCGACTGATTTACCTACAATAACTATTGATTAAAATTCAATATAGAATAGACTTTAATCAATTTTTTAGTTGTGATTTGGTGCTTTAAGTCTGCTTTTTATAA